AGTAATCATGTTGTTAGAAATTCATAATACACCTCAAGGCACAAAGATGCTAATAAATGTAAATGTACCTTCTCCAGAAATGAATCGGACATCGTAAAAAAGTGCTGAAATTACATATTCTGTGTAAATGATTCTGATTAACATCGACGCTTGGGAAGTTGTCATTATAGACATAAACTGATTAATTAAACACAAACAGATATGTAAGAATTTAAAATTATATATACATAATGTATATATATGTAATATCCTTATCCCGTATTATATTTATAAATATCTATCTATCTGTCTCTCTCTGTATATATATATATATATATATATTATATATATATATATACTGTATAGTACTGGCGTAATACTGTATAATGCTGGCGTAATACTGTATAGTACTGACGCCTTCTTTAACCGGATAAATATTTTTACTTTTGTTTTCCACAAGCATCATATTATAGCAATTCAGCAACCAATAACCCCATGGTTCCTTCTTATTAGTAATTTTGGCTTTTTTTCATCATTTATTAACTTATTGTAAGTAGTTTCGGTTATTCGAAACGAACTGGAGATGTATTTCATGCTTTGCCGGCTTGCCATATAGCAATCTACGTATAAAATGTCTAGGCTATGTATGAAAAGTTTTACGCTTAGAAAATCGAAGTCTTCGCTAAACTGTATTCTCAAAATGCCAAAATCTCCCTCCCCGTCTATTACGCGTCCCATCCGTTTCCTTCCCTCCACGTCCATTAACGCATAAGAGGTGCGAAGTTATGACATCCTTTATATTTCTTAACAAAGAAGCTTCCATTAGCCTTGTAGAACAAGCTATCTTCAATAAACTGATACAATACATTTGGGAAAACTCCACCTGCTGCTGCATACTTTAGGGGGAGGGAGGAAAACAAGATCGCAGTCTCGTCCATTTCGGTCGGTTTTGGTTGTTTGAATGAAGTGCCGTCTGGGGCGTTTTGGTCTTCAAAGGGTTAATCGTTTCATACATAGCCGGCCAGATTTCGAAATTCTATAAAATGTCTTGGATATTCCATAGAAATCCGGATTTTTTTACTATATATATATATATATATCGAAGTCCATATATATATATCGCACTCCCTTCAAAACTCAAAATGACACGTAACAATGAGAATGAATAATTTGCATTTTTAGAAAAATAAATCTCTGGCTGCTGAAAACTCGCTATTTTGAAAACAAAATGCATACTTTTTACACTGTGCAACACAAGAAATCTGCATGCTGTAATTTTAAAGTTTACAATATTGTCTTTCGTTACGTGAGTATAAAAAACGCATGCTGTTCTTAATATGCAAATTATAGGAATCCAAAGTCAGATGAATAATTTATACGTAGGGTGTTTTTGGAGTAAGGGCCGTTTTGTTGTATACACTAATACGTGTCGCGCGGGTGGCAACGAGTGTTTGCGTCGTGTTCCGGCATCCCTTGGAAACAACCGTGCTCAGTTGCAGTTGTGTAGATAACTACTGCAGATATTCACTAGCAGGCAGTCACAAGTTTACAGAGCTATTGCTATGAGTGAAGGTAAAGTGCGTAAATGGGTCAGAGACTTCAAAGCTGGCCGCGACAACGTCCGTCCATGATGAGTCCCGCTCTGTTTGCCCATCTGTGATCACAGACTATATGCTAACTTCAGATAAAGCAAAAATTCTTGAGAGGCTTCACCATAAGCACTCTTTCAAACGAATTTCCTGAAGTGCCTAATCTAGGACGTGAAAACGGCCGTGACCTCTTGGTTATCGGAGCAGGCGGCAAGTTTCTATGAAAAGGGTATTCAAAATCTAGTTCTAAGGTATGATAAGTGTTTAAACAAACTTGGCAACTATGTTGAAAAATAAAGAAACGCATGTAGAATCTGAAAGTATATTTCGTTTTTGAAAATTTTCTTTCGTTTATTTTTATTTACAAACGATCCTTACTTAAAAACCACCCCTCGTAATAGCAATGTACTTACACAGTAATATTTTGCAGAGATCGAGAATGATCAAGAGAAAATAGGCAAGAAAAACAAAATTGCTAACTGAGAAAAATTAAATAAATATAATTAATGAATTAATTAAAACTTGAAAAGATTCTTAAAGAAACATGGTGAAGAATGTTACGAGCATCATTTATTAACATAAAATAATTAATAACTATGAGTATTATTATCAGTAGTCTTTATTACTTCATAAATTTACTATTAAAAGTTAGAAGTTAGGAATTTCATAAATGATATTTAGCAAATTTTTAGTATTATTCGCTTATATTAGTTAATAAAGTTGCTTCTTTTATGTAGCAATTCTGATCCGGTTTCAAAAATATTCTTGAACTTTTATATCGAGAAGCTTCAGATTAATTTGCTGAAGAGAAATTAGTTAGCGCTAAATGATATTAATTTTATTTTCCTTCATTTAACTTTAACAGAGGTCTTCTCTGAGTCTCTCTTCTCTTGAAATTAGACTGTCTGCTTTAAAGGTGACTGCCTGCTTATAACACACAATATGCTTATAACACACGAGTCAAAATGCAGCTTGTAGAGTTTTACATGTTTGGCTATTATCCAAAGTAGCTGAACTCTTAGTAGACGTTAAGCGATTTATCGCTAAATATAAAATAACCGCTGAAACTTGAATGTAAAAGACTCTTTATTTAAAAGTAAATAAGATAAACAGAAGGAAATCCTGGTAACTACAACTTTTTCGCCATTTATGGCAGGAAACTAAAAAAAGCAGTAAGTCAAATGTAAAGCTTAAATAATAAACAAATAGCCAAAGGTAACACAGAGCAATTTAATACGAAGTTGGCTCAGAACTTTACACGTGTGAAATTCAAATATCTGCAATTATAATGCAAGGCCGAAGACAAGAACTGAACTCCTATCTATAACAGTAACCTAGGATCGTAGGCTCAAGAGGCAGAATACGCTCTGTCTTACAAGCTCAAAACTTCGCTTTATATACAAGTGCACTAAATTTGCGTTCTGGCGGGAAATTGAAAGTGAGAAGCGATAGTACAGATCCAAAGCATAAAATAACTGTAACACATATCTCTTAAGTATAAATAAAACATCTCGGAGTCGATAATTAAAGCAATGAAGGCACCTATTTATTAATAAAATAACTCCCACACAACAATAAAAGCCAGATTTTTTAAGCCTCGAGGGCAGAGTTAAGTCCTAACGCAATTTCGTTTAGTCACATTACCTGCAAAAAGGAAAATGAATGTTTATATTAGGTGAATGTCCACAAGCAGCCGAGCCGTAAAGTCCCTTAACACTGGTAGTTCGGTCGAAGGTTCTTCGAATTCCGCAAACGGAATTCGAAAATATTGGCTGGCTGCATGAGCGCTTTCGTGGTTTTCCCCATATGTAACACGTTAATGCGAGCCAGTTTCCCTTAGGAAGTCCTCGATGAAGACATCACTCCCTTCTGTATGGTGCCTTAGGGAGGAACGTATAAATAATAAATAATAATATATTAGGTGAATCACACATCACTTGACATAAAACAGGTCTTCTGCTTGAGGAATGACTCCCGCCATCTGTTATATAACTGGTCATAAAATCAAAGGAACCTCACCTATACAAAACCAAATCATTTTTCTTCTAAATACTCATTTTAAATTACAGAGGATAAGTATTTAAAAATACATTATAATCTTTCTTGCATAAGAATGAAACAGAGCAAACGTTTTTTATGAAATTTCAGTAATACTTTCTACGTATTAGAATTATTGATCTTTCAGTTAAATACTTAAAAATTTGAATAGCTGTTTGTTAAGTAAAAAGATTGTTTCTCTTGAGGATTCAGATTACCCAAATAAATCTAAGCTACAATTGTAAAAGTAGGAAATTATTATCAAATCAAGTAAACGTCCTTTTAGTATAAAAAGAATAAAAGATTTAATCTTGCAGCTTATTTTTTATCAAGAAATTTCTGAACAGAATTTAGCAGTTTCACATAATTCATTACGAACTAAAACTGATTCTTCATTTTTAAAAACAACTTAAATGCGGTTCGAAATTTTATCAGCAATATTTTTTCTCAATAAAAAATTTAATTTTAGGGGAATATAAGAGAAAAGCTGGTGGGTTAATTAGTTATATAATAATGCTTTTTTAATAAGTTAGAATACTCCCTATTAAGCTTTTGACTTCGTTCTGTTTTATTTGTCTTAACAAATTTTATTTTTCGAAATTTCTGTTAAAAGCTAATTTTTAATGAAAACAAAAAAGCACCTGTTTTCTACAGTATCTTTTCCTGGAGACCGATTCCATCACACACGTGGCAAGCCTTAAATGTAAAGTCTATTAATGCATCATATGGCTAAGTAATTATCGTGTTTGCTTTTCCTTCGAATGGTTAATAAAATTAAAATAACTTTAGAACACGTTAAGAATTCTCAACTCATGAAAATTGGAAACATGGAAAAATTCTTTTGCCTGTGACTAATTTTTTTTTCTTTGAAATATCTTATTATTTTTAAAACGTTAGCTAACAAGAAAGTTTTTTTTTTAATCCAATGTATTATGTCTGATTATTTAAGTAACTACAAACTGGAATTTTTCTTAGCAGTTAATGTAGATAATAGCATCTTTGCCTTGCAATTTAAGTTTAGAATTTCACATAATAGCGAACATCATGTGCGAGAACGATATATGATGAGTGTAAGTTGATTTTTTCATTAAACGTAGCATTTCTAAGTGTTGAAATTATTTCTTTTTCTCTCCGATGGAGTCAGTTTTTCTTTTATTATTTATCGTCTGTCGCGCCGACTAGGTCACGTGACTGCCGGCAGAGGAAAGAATGTAATAACACTTTTAGTTTAGCTTGAGTGTGACGCTTGAAATGATCTGTTTCTTGGCCACATAGCTGTAATCAACAATTATAATAATCGTTCTTGATAAATTAATCTTGGCCCTATGAAATTTATATTATTCGTAAATTTTGTGTTTTGAATAATGTAAATAATGTACATACGCTCTTCATTAGATATTTCTGTGTTTCAACTGGAAGTTCTTATTTTCAAGTTGAATCTTTACGTGAAAATGGTATATTGACTCTTGATATACTAGTATATTCTAGATTAAATTAATGCTCTCTCAACTCGTGAAAAATAGAATCGTGAATCGTGATCATAACGTAATGTTATACATGAAGTATGAATGCAGAAAACAGAAAACAGAACGTCACAGCCTATATCATTAAATATAAATATTACATGTATTTATACATACATATGTGTCTGGCTGTAGCATATCGGACTGGCTGCATGAGCATTTTCGTGGTTTTCTCCGTGTGTAACGTGAATAGAAGTCAGTTTCCCTTAGAAAGTCTTTCACGAAGGTATCCCTCATCTAAGGCTGATAATCCTCGCGGGTTGTTTGTGATAGTCAAATGAAACCCAATCCCTTCTACACAAGCGCACGCTCTAACTTAAGCAGCTACAATTTCAGTGGTTTTCAATTTAACCAACCGATCTTTGTTCACGAGTATTTAGTTCAATCCGGATTCGACTGCACTTTTCCTATAATTCCACACATTAATTGAAAATATATATTATTATAATTAATTCCTAAATCTTAAATTTTGTACGTGGTTAAATACATGAAAATAAATTTTCCAATCGCTCCACTTATAAACCATGGTATTTCAGACAGTAACGTAACAATATTTTATTTTCCTTCTAGGCGAAAATATTGGTCAAACATGTCCTCCAAGTCAGTTCCGATGTGCGAACAGCCGCTGTATCTCGGAATCATATGTCTGTGATGGAGACAACGACTGTGGAGACTGGTCCGACGAAAGCAAATGTCGTAAGTCTCAAAACTCGTAGGAAATCAATGAAATTTATTACATGTGTCAGGTGGTGCTTTCTTTCAATGGCGATGTGAAGAATTTACTTTCTCTTCGATCTGACAGATACAAAATGGCGAAAGTTCGAAAAAATACGTTCTATGTACAATTTTGATTCCTTTTGACATATTGCCCTAAACAGTCACTGAGTTGTCAGAGTTCGAGAAAAATGAAGCACCATGGTTTCGAAAAACGTAGCTTTACATTACCTTTCATAAAATAAATAAATAAACAAACTGGGAAAAATGCACAGGCAGTAAAACGTGAATTATTTTTTATTCATAAAATGAGACTGAATTTAAGGATTTCTTAAAATTTTCGCCTAAAGTTTTTCACATGTAGAAGTAAGACGAGTGATAATACGGTTTGGGCAGCCATACTAAATACTTATGAGCATGTTAATAAAGAAGTTCGGAATATAAACCTTCTTACAGGAGGTATTGTATTACAGAAATAAAAAAATAATCCAACTGAAATTTTTTCGAGCAGAATCTGTGTATTATTGGACGAGTTAAAGCAACAAGACAGCTTAATATTCATACATTTGCAGGACTAGTTTCGAAGGTTTTTAATCTAGAACCTTGTTCTTCAGCTGCAAAATGGAAAATATATGTAAATTACGCATATTCTTGTTGATTTAACTCCTCCAATAATCTTTTTTTCGGCGTGTTATATTAACTCAAATAAGAATCTATGTATATTTATTCTCGAGATGCTAAGATAAATTCAAACTGTTAAGTACTGACGTTTTAAAATATTACAACTTGAAAACCAAAAGATAAGATAATAAACGAATTAATAATTTTCCAAGTTAAAAGACAGCTATAGTTTAGAAATAGCAATTTAATTAAAACTGTAACAATTTGCCAAACCTTCCCTTAAGTACAGTGGGATATTCAAATAGTCAGTATGGGCAAAAACATTTATCTAATAGTCAAAAACTGTTCAGTTTAGATATTTGAATTCATGAAATTATAATTTTCATGAGAAAAGTTTTGAGTTTCACCGAGGAGAGGAATATTTAGAGCCTTCCAAAGGAGTTTTTTGTTATGGTACAAAGGGCCGTCCCACCGCGCACCCGTACTCATTATGCAATGAAATTAATTCTCTAGGACATAATGAGATGCTAGTACGATTTCAAAGCAATTAATACGGTATCATAATACGTGAGGGCACCTACTGTTAGATTTTTGAGAGTGCTTGGGTTCGTAATTTTACAACTAGCTCTGTAGATTCTAAGTATTAGGTGCCAATGTCCTCTGTACACGAGCTATCGTGATGGAAGTGACATTTCAAGGTTCATGCAGACAAGAAAAATATTCAAATTAAGTTTTAATGAGTCTCTACTTGAGAATGAACATAAGAATGCAGTTAAATATTTAGTTAAGCCAGCAGGTGACAGTTGGCTTAACTAAACATTAAGTTCATGATAAATATTCACATTTGAATTTCACTCCAAGAGGAACCACAATTCTGTACAATTTTAACGATCAACCGTAGATTTCAACCTAGATTACTGTTTTTGGATAGAATTTCTTCGGAATCAGCTACACGGGGCAGGATTAAACAGCTATATTCTCCAGCAGTTATTCCTTACGGATCCATAGTTGCGCTCGCTTGCTTAACCAAATCTAAGCACAGGCTTGGACTGACGTTCTTCAGACAATTGATAAATCGACTGTTCCAGTTAACTTACTTATATTTCTACGCTCGTCTCAATATTTACATAACCGTTTGTAGAAAATAAGCTACGTGAATAAGTAAGAAGTGAGATGCTAAATAAAAATCAATTTGCTAATTGCAATGAACTAAATTGTCACAACGCACAGGTAACAGGTAACTGAAAACACCAGGACATTGCCGGTATATTTGACAGTTAGATAGGTGTAGTCCTACACTCCCCCCTATGCTAGAATCCGCTTCACGCTATAAACCACGGCGTGAAGTGGATTCTTCAACCGTACGTTGTGACAACTACATATGTCAGTATGTCACTACGTACGGTACCATAATACAGTGGAATTTCTTTTGACAGCCACCTGCTATAGATAAAGTCGCAAATATCTATGAGACCATAACATAAACATCAATACTGAACTTATCCGTTTCTAACATTCTCTATGCCTACGGCATCCATGAAAGACCGACATGTTGATCGCTGTAATAGTTAGCATTAATGCGCCTGGATATCACTGCGCCTGGATTCTAGTCTCGAAAGTTATAATGCGTTTAATGCATATTGTCTTTGCAGCATGGATACAATTAAACACTACTGTTCTGTTAATACTCGGGAGTAGTTGATAATAAAGGACCCTTAAATCCATTTTCTGGGGTTTTTTGAGCCAAGATTAAAGCGAAGATGGGGAGATTCAAGTATTTTAGAAGATGTCCAAAGTCTAGGCCAATGGCAGCCGAAAATATCTGGATCTCGATCAAGATGAATTGCTGAATCTCCTATTAATTATATACATAGCAAAAAGTTTATAAAGTATTTTTCCCGCCTTATTAGCATGCCTTCATGGTGTAGTGGCCAGCACACTCTGCGCGTATTCCAGGTCCGTGGTTTGAGTCCCGGTGAGGGCATTGTTCATTTTTCATCTCTCCTGCTTTCAAAAAATACCTAATGTTTCTACAACGAACTAAAAAATGTGGTAGATGATGATTGTTCAACACCAGGATTTGGAGATTTAGTCCCCTAATCCCCAGTCGTCCTTTAAAAGGGAAGTATATAAGGTATTTCTCCCGCCTTCTTAGCATGCCTTCGTTGTGCAATGGTCAGCACACACGGCAAGTATTCGAGATCACTGCTCATTTTTCATGTCTCATGCTTCGAAATAACCTATTGTCTCTACAGGTTTAACAACAGCAATAAAACCGTCTCTGGTTATCTTTGAGAGGATTTTATTGTAAAACGAGAACAACTGATAAACCACGGGTATTAATTGTTTGAAATGGTAATATTTTGGATTAAGTATTTTAAAATTTAAAATTATCTTATCTCGCATTGGCTGCAAAAATTTTGGGCACTTTAACATAGCAGAATCTTTAAGAAACATATTTACAGTTTTAAACTCTAGGCTAAGATACATATACTTAATGGGAATCTAAAGTCGAAACTGTTCGTTTTCTACAATTATTGACGAATTAGTAAATTCCATATCGTAAACATGGCAGCAATATAACCTATAATGACAACAAAAACACTATGCATATAACTCCAGTAATAAATACAAAAACATTACTATGTCTCTCCAATTCCTCCCCCCGGGGTTGTCTGGTGGGCAACCTCAGCCGTTTTCGCTAGGTTCTATACTCGGCTCCTGGGTTATAATTAGTCTTCGCAGCGACTAGAACCATCGATTAGGTTTGGTAGATTTAGGCGTGACAGAGACCGTGCCAGTATTGTCTTGTCTGCCCCTTGGTTGTGGGGATACTACATGGTAGATATTTTAAGGTTGTTCTAGGGCAGTGGTGTCCAAACTTTGGCCTCTCGCGAGCACATTTTGGTCTATCATTAGCATATTTCCAAAACATCAACATTTGTTAAAAATATTTCCAATCTTATGTGATACATACGAAATATTAATTTCGGCAAATGGGTTTGAGATGAATAATAATATTGGTTGAAATTTATGGAAATCAGAGAAGCAGAATTCAAAATTATTTTTCAGTGCATTTAGGTTTTCCGAGTATTTATCTGTTTCAATTGCCTTGTGGTTATTAACATGGCTTGATAAATTCTGAACATGGGTGAAATTGTTTTCTTTCATCTGATTTATTCACAAATTTAACTTTATCTGAAAAGCAGTTACAATCCCAGGTCAATTGAAAAAGGATTTTTTCTTTTCCCTGGAGATCTTCGTTCTCTTTGTTCCGTTTAGCTGTTATTATCCGTGAGAAAATACAGATCGGATAACCAATTATTATCGTCCATTTCTTTATAACTTTCGTTTCCGGATTCCAAAAACTTCTTTATTGGCGAAGTTCTACAAATCTTTCAAATACTTTTCCCCTGCTGAGCCATCTAACACCGGAATGAAACAATAAGATTCCATGTTCGCTATAAAGTTCATCGTTTTACTCTGTTCATATAACTGTGCGCAAACTAAATCCTAACATCTAATACTCTACAAACATTGTGTATCTGACTTTGCAATATGTATTTGTTCTGTGGGCAATGTGTATATAAAACGCATTGTGTACCTACTTTCATCTATCATCTATCATCAATCATCAATTCAATAAGCACTGTGCATCTAATATAATATCTAATACGTGCCGCGCATTCTATAACATAGTGTCTCCACTACAGTCATTGCCTGCATATCATATCTGTATTGTACAAACTATCTGTATTATATCTGCACTGTATCTGGCATATATCCTGCATCCTGTATGTACTATCCTGTATATATCTTCAATATTAAATATTATAATTTAAGTATTGCGAGTTGCGCATTATATTTTAAACACTGTGTCATCCTGTATTTATCTCATGTATCCTGTATGTATCATCATGTATGTATCTTAAGTATCAAGTACTAAGTATCATAACTAAATAAGTGTTTCGCATTATATTTTAAGCACTGTGTCATCCTATATCCTGCATGTATCATCCTGTATATATTTTAACTACCAAGTATTAAGCATCATGACTTAAGTATTTAGTGTTGCGCATTACATTTTAAGTATTGTCACTCTGCATATATTTCCTGTATATCCTCCTGTATCATCCTGTATATATTTTAAGCATTAAGTAATATGACGTAAGTATTGTTCATCGTACTTTAAGTACTGTGACATCCCGTACATATCTCCTCTATCCTGTATATCATTCTGTATATACATACCAAGTTAAGCATTCAGTATTATGATTTAAGTATTAAGTATAGCACATTATATTTTAAGTACTGTGCCATCCTGTACATACTTCCGCACATCGTACCGTGCACTATGTTCT